CCCCCCCCCGGTCAGATGCTGCCACCCCGTCAGGGCCCCACCAGTGGGCCTCTCTCTGAACATGGCTTTGGCTGTTAAAGGCCACCCACCCAAGAGGATGCCTGTTCGGTACATTTTATAAAAAGCGTCTTCTGACTGCCGTGTCAGAAAGCAGGCTGGTGCAAGTAGGCACAGGGTGAAGGCACGGCTGGGAATTCAGAAAGCGGCAAGGGAGTGATTATGGAAAGCGGGTCGGAACTTTCCAGGGCAAGAGAAAAGGCAGCATCGCCCCAGGAGCTCCAGGAGCTGGGGTTGGGCCCCCGGTCTCTCGGGCACGTTGGCCCTCGCTTGTCTCCCCGACTCAGAAGAAGTACCAGCTCTTTCTCTGCCTGGCTGCCGGGAGGAAGCTTCTAGCTGCCCCTGAGCGAGTGGCTCTCGTCCCCCCCCCCCGTCACACACACACACCCCTGTCTCTGAAAGCGTGGGTCGCAGGAGGGGTGGGAAAGGAGCTTGTTGCAAATGGCCGCTCACGCCTTGCTCTTTCTGCCTGGCTTTCCTCAGACATTCCGGAAATCCCAGAAAGCATCAAGTTCTGCAAAGCCTTGGAAATCGCGGACTTCAGCGGGAACCCCTTGTCCAGGTAGGGTGGGTGTGAGTTCTGCTGTGGTGCCCCGCATTGACCCTCGGGGCAGACACTCCTGCCCCGCCCAGTGTTGACTGTCCTCCCAGGGCAGCAGCGGGGGCAGGAGGGCCCCCCGGGCCCCCTGGTCCGCTATCTCATGACCCTGCCCGAGAGCCTCTGTGGGCTGGCTGGGTCAGCTGGGCTGTGCCGAAGGAGGGAGAAGGCCGGCTGCTTCTGGGAGGCTCGGGCTATAGGGTCCGTGGGGTGCTCCCCGCTCCCTGTGGGGCTGGAGAGAGAGCACACCCCTGGCGGCTGTCGTTCATGCCCCGTCTTGTGGCTTGCCCGCAGGCTCCCCGAGGGCTTCACGCAGCTGCGCAGCCTGGGCCACCTGGCCCTGAACGACGTGTCTCTGCAGTGCCTGCCCGGCGACATCGGCAAGTGAGTCTCTCCTGGCCTGGCTGGGAGGTGGGGGGGGAGGAGGGGCTGAACACGGGGTGCCCCTCGTTTCCCGGCTGTTTCTGGGACGGGCAAACAGTGGCGTCTCCTTGGACTTCCTCTCTTGCAGTCTGGCCAACCTGGTGACCCTGGAGCTTCGCGAGAACCTGCTCAAGTCCCTCCCTGCGTAAGTCTCTGCAGATTTGTGTCTGCTGCGTTCTAGGCCTATTCACGGATCCAGGCTGTCTCCAGCGAGTCGTGACACCTCTGACATCGGTGGCAGTATATTTGAGAGTGTGGCCTTTGGGCACCCTGGCCTTTGGGCACCACCTCCTGAGGGTGCACTTGGGCCCTGTGAGAAGGAGACTCAGCCTCCGAGGTGCCCTCTGTCTGCTGGAACACGAACTCTGCCTCTTGGGGGGGCTCTTCGTGGTGCTGACCAAGTGACCATACTTCCCCCCCCTCCTCTGTTGTCTTGCAGCTCACTCTCATTCCTCGTCAAGCTAGAGCAGCTGGACCTGGGAGGCAACGACCTGGAGGGGCTGGTAAGGGGGGGGGGGTGCCATGTGGGGGGGGGGAGGGGGTGGTGGCTCGACATCCGGAATCCCTTTGCTCCAGCCCACTACTTGTGTGTGTGTGTGTGTGGCTGGGGGGCGGGTGTTTTCCTGGACACTCCCTGCCCTGCCTTTCGGCCCCTTACCTCAGGGGGCCTCGTTGCAGAAAGAGATACCATTTTGGGTTGGGTGTCTTGACCAAAAGAGGCGTCCTCTTGGTGCGTGTGTGTGTGTGGGGGGGCTGATGCAGTCCTTCTGAGATGGGATCTGGGGGTCTTCCCAGGGAGGTCACGTGCTGCTTCTCTTCCACAGCCAGACACGCTGGGGGCGCTGCCAAACCTGCGGGAGCTGTGGCTGGACCGGAACCAGCTCTCGTCTCTTCCCCCGGTGAGTACTGCCAGCAGGCACGGAGCAGCAGCACCAGCAAAGAGGGTCAGTGGGAGTGCCCTCTTGTCTGCTGAGGCTCACGCGGTACCTCGAACCGTTGCCCTTTCAAGCTTTTCATTGGAATGCGGAGACACCTCGATGGAGGACGGAGCAAAGGCAGTGAGCCGTAATGCCTGTTTTGCCTCTGTCTTCCCTCTGAAGGAGAGTAGAGGCCCACCTGGGGTGTGTGTGTGTGTGCAGGGTTCCGGTTTGCAAATGGGATATAGGTACAGAGGTCATTCAGAAGTACCTGGAAGCTTTGGATGGGTGGAAGTCCCCTGGGCCAGATGCTCTCCACTCAAGAGTGCTGGAAGAGCTAGTTGGGGAGCTGGCAGAGCCGTTATCCTGTATCTTCAGGGCCCCTTGGAAGGCAGGTGATGTGTTAGATGTCTGGAGAAGGGCAAATGGTGTCCCAGTTCTTTAAAAAGGGAGGAAGGATGATCTGGGGAACTATAGGCTGGTCCGTTTGACCTCTGTCCCAGGGGAGATCTTGGAGCAGGTTTGAAAAGGGCTGATTTGTAAGCATCTGGAGGATAACTTGGTGATACGAAGGAGACAGCCTGGATTTGCCCCAGTGGGTCCTGTGCATTTGCCCTTTCTTATAATTTTTCCTTCTTTATGTATCTCTATCCAATATTTTCTTGCTTTCTTATATGTCTACTACATATGATAGAATGTTGCAGCTGTACTCTGCCATTTCCAGCACTTCCCATCATATCCTTTGTTAGTTTCTGCAATATCTTTAGGCGTAATATGCCATCTAAAAACATTTTGTACCAATTCTCCCTTAATGTTTGGGATTCATTGTCTCATGGCCCTTCTGAACCTCTATTGGCGGTTCTGCTGGCTGGCTTGAATGGTCAATTTGGCTGTGCCAAAGGAGGGAGAAGGCTGGCTGCTTTTGGGAGGCTGTGGCATACTCAGGGTTAGGGTCCTTGGCGTGCATTGTGGGTGGTGTGGTGCTTCCACTTCTTTAGTTGATAATTTTTCCCACTGACTCATACATAATATTCTTTCCAAAGTTTTGCATCCATTTTATCATGCAATTTTTTTATTTGCTCTGTCTCTGTATCATATTGCAGTAGCATTTTATAAATTTTTCCTGATAGGTGTTTTAGATCTCCAGTGATTAAATGTTAAAGACCATTTTCTCTCTTACTCGACCTCTTTCCTTTGCTATTTGTTCTTTATATTTAAATACCATTTGATAAAATAACAGCCATGGAATGTTCTTCCCTTCATTATATATCTCTTACCAAGGTTTAATTTTTTTCTTGTCTTATCATATATTCATAAGTTATACGGTCAGTTTTCTTTCTTGTACTGCTGTCACAATAGGCATCGATTGGTAACGTCAGTAGCAAGATAGACAGACTTATTCTATTTTTGCATTGGGAACCTTAAAGTCCATCTCTCAGAATGTGGTTACCGTCTTGTCTTTGAATTGTTTTTAATGATTTCGTAATCAAATAATAGTGGATTCCTTCTTTCATGTCAGTTATTTCCAATTTGATGCTTCTTCTGTTTGGATCTATGATCCAGTCTGAGATCCAAATTTGGGGTGTGCGCTCAGTGTATTCTGAGCCAAATAAATATCCGAAAAATACCCTATTGGTATTTCTCGGTTATTTATTCAGCCGAATACATATTAGACAGTCTGATTTGGCTACTAAAATACCCATGCCCAAATAAAAGTAGATATTATTTGGCTTTTATTTGGGCATGATTAGAAGGTATTAAATGCCTTCTGAGTTTACTCACTGAGTCGTGTCATGGCAGTGGAGTGACTCAGTGAGCAAACTGAAGGAATTTAAAATTTAAATGCATTTAGTTCACTTGCTGAGTCGTGTCGCCATGATGGCACAACTTGGTGAATTCAGAAGGCATTTTAATTTTAAATGTGGTACAACTTGGTGAGTGACCTGAACACATTTAAAGTTTAAATGTCTTCTGAACTCACTGAGTTGCGCCGCTGCAGCAACACAACTTGGCAAGTGAAATTCTCCATTATACCCTATGGAGACTGTCTGCATAGGATATAATGGAGCCAAATAAATTGGGTTTCCCGATTATTTTCCTGAATACCAGTTCAATACTGATACTGGTATTCAGGAATATTTAGGAATACCGATATGTTCTGGTCCAATAGACCTGAATCGGGAACAAAAACAATTTTTTTTGCACACCTGTAATCCAAACCAATGCAGCTGCTTGTCGATACAGTTTAATAAACAGTACCACTAAACCTCCTCTTTTTTTCATCCTGTAATACTTAAAATCTTATTCTTGGCTTCTTCCTGTTCCATTTGAAGTTATTTATCGTTTTCTGCCATTTTTTTAGTCTTCATCTATATAAATTGTAACATTTGAAACAAAAAAGTTAGCTTTAGGAATATGCTCATTTTAACAGCTGAAATTCGTCCCAGCCATGAAATTTTCAGTCTTTCTCATCTTTGCAAATCTTCAGTAATGTTCACCCAGACTTTTGATAGTTACCTTTAAATAAATGATAACTTTGTGCTGTTATAAAAATGCCCAAGTATTTTATTGGTTTCTTAGTAACAGTTATCTTCTCTATCTCTTCTGGCTGTTAGAATCATAGAATCACACAGAGTTGGAAGGGACTGTACAGAGGCCATCTAGTCCAACCCCCTGCCCAGTGCAGGATCAGCCTCTTCTCTAGGTGACGGCCCAGCGCCTTCTAGTTCTGAACTTTCATCACTGTTACTTGCTGTCAGTTCTTGTAAAAGTACTTCAGCTTGTTCGGTTGTTATTTTCTTATCCTTTGACAAAAAATTTATAAGGTGAAGGGAATTTTCCAATGATATCTGATTAATTTCTGTTGCAGCACTTGTTTTAGATTTCCAAATTCTTTTCTTTTCTTGATTGTGTTTGGTGTTAAGTCTTGAAATATTTTTATTTCTTATCCTTCAACTTCAAGCGGATCTTTTCTGTGTTGTGCTAAAATTACGTATTTTGATTTTTTTATGAGTGCAGCTGACTAGTGTGTCTCATAGTAATTTATTTTTACTTGTGTGCTTTGAATTGATTCTAAAAATTCTAAAAATTTGTTCAATTTCCAGAATTTCTGGAAAGTCTCGTATTAGCTTTCAGAATCTGTTCTCTAGATCCAAATTGTGAAGAGTTTCTGGAATTCTGGAGAATCACAGGTTATTACTTCTGAGTTTTGTTTCTAGAACTTCAATTCTTTGATTTGCTTCTATTAAAGAGTTTGCTGTTGTTGTATTGCTTCAGTTTTTTCTCAAGAGCAGTTCTCTCAGAGTTTTCTCAGCCCCACCTACCTCACATGGTGTGTCTGTTGTGGGGAGAGGAAGGGAAGGAGATTGTGAGCTGCTCTGAGACTCCTTCGGGTAGTGAAGGGCGGGGTATAAAACCAATCTCCTCCTCCTCCTGTGATTCTATGATTCTATAAAAGCATGTAATCTTAGACAATATAGCCATATATTCATACAAATTATTATTCTATATAAACAGCCTAAGCCACAGTCCTCTTCTGTTTAATTAATAATTGTTAGTTTGCTTTAAATATTAAAGTAGAAAATTATTATTCATAATTACTGTATATTATTGGACCTTCAAATCTCTACAATACATTTACTTAGAAAGTTTACAAATATAAATAGGAAGGTGATAAATTTAATACAGTAGTCTGTACATAGGATTTATGAGCAAACTTCAGAGGACGGCGGAAGACAGGAAGGCCTGGCGTGATCTAGTCCATGGGGTCGCGAAGAGTCGGACTCGACTGTGCGACTGAACAACAACAAAAAGATTTATGAGATGTTTTAACACAGTACATTAGCAGAAACGATCAGTAGATTGCAAGAAACAATTACTTATGCAAATCTTCCAGTTTTATGCAGATCTTACTGCTTAGCTGTAGTTCATAAAACAGACAGTAGATGGCAGCAAAGGATTACTTATGCAGATTTTTGTAAAACCGTATAGACTTGTATTCCAAATCAGTACTGGATATTTTTTTAAATCCAAATTAGTGTGGCGTTTGCAATCTAATTCAACAAAGGGTTTGTAGTCCAATGTATTTATAATCCAGTGAGATATGACAGGATAAGAAAGACTAGAGAAAGAGGATCAGTCTAGAAATAAAAAACCCCTCTCTTCCTCTTTGTCTTAGAAAGGAAAGCTTCCGGTTCCGAATGAGGGGAGCGTAGAAATAAAAGCCAACACAGATGATCAGTCTGGTAATATGCCTTGCTGTATTCCCACAATGACATTGAAATTCTTCTTCTGCAAGGTTAGTTAGTTAACAGTCAGCCAGTAAGCCAGTCAGAGAGAGAAAGGAAAAAATGGCTGCAAGTCAGGGTCCCTCCTTTTTGTCCAGATAGATCACAGTTCAACACGTCGTTCTTCATAACAAAAAATTAATTAGTCACTAAATCAGGAAGGCTCAGATTGTTGTATTCTAATCTTGCTAATTAAAGGTAAAGGTTTCCCTTGCTCAAAAGCCAGTCGAGTCCGACTCTAGGGTTGCGGTGCTCATCTCCGTTTCAAAGCCGAAGAGCCAGCGCTGTCCGAAGACGTTTCCGTGGTCATGTGGCCGGCATGCCTAAACACCAAGGCGCACGGAACGCTGTTCCCTTCCCACCGAAGTGGTACCTATTTATCTACTTGCAATTTCTCGCTTTCGAACTGCTAGGTTGGCAGGAGCTGGAACTAGAGACGGGAGCTCACTCCGTCATGCGGCACACTTGGGTCTCGAACTGCTGAACTACAGCCTGCAGTTCAGCGTCTTAACCACTTGAGCCACTGCAGCTCCTCTTGCTAATTAGCTGATGTTAAAAGTCAAATGTCACAAAGGCAGGATCCAAAAAAGAAAAAGGAATGGGAGAGAGAGTGTGTGTGTGTGTGCTGGCATTCTTGATCCCCCCCATCCCCCAGCTAGTTCTGTACTGGTGTCGAGAACCGATGATTAGTCTGGTAATATGCTGTATTCCCACAATGTTGTTTAAATTTTTCTTCTGCAAGGTTAGTTAGTTAACAGTCAGCCAGTAAGTTTAGCAGAGAATTTAAAAAATTGCTGCGGTTCTTTATCACAAAAAATAATGAGTTGCTAAATCTGGAAGGCTCAGATTGTTGTAGGGGATCCAACATGGTGACGGACTGAAGGAACACATTTAATTATGTCCCTTTGAGCTTCCCCACATCAAGGGCAACCTGCCAGGCAGGGGGAGTTTAGTAGCCCCAGCCAGCTTCTCTTTTTGCTTAAGAAGCACTCCTGCTACCCCATGCAGGGGTAGATCAGAGGATTTTTAAGTCTTCTGACTCCTGTTAACGCGGACAACACCAAGGCTGCTGTGGAGAATTGCCAGCAGGAGAATTTCTGAGTAAGTCAACCCGATACTTAAATGCATTATTTTATCAACAGAACTCTCTTATCATTGGAAGGGACCTTGCAGGTCATCTAGTCCAACCCCCTGCACTCTGCAGGAGCATAGCTGAAAGATAGCCCTACATACCTACAACATACCCGAAAGATGTCCAACCTCCGCTTGAAAACGTCCAGCGAAGGAGCATCCACCACCTCCCGAGGCAGACTGTTCCACTGTTGCTTAGTTAGTTTGAAATTCTACCGAATAACATCGAATATGAAACAGTTGTGATTTTTGACATCAGTACAGAACTAACAGGGGGGGAAATCAGGAATGCAGTCGTCTCCCTCTCTCTCTTTTCTCCTTTCCTTTTCCAGATCCTGCCTCTGTGATATTTAACTTCCAGATCCTGCCTCTGTGATATTTAACTTTTAACATCAGCTAATTGGCAATATTAGAACACAACAATCTGCAGGGCTTAGTTTTAGGCCCGGTGCTTTTTAATATTTTTATCAAGGATCTGGATGAGGGTGTGAAGAGACTACTCATCAGATTTGCAGATGACACCAAACTGAGAGGGGCAGCAGACGCTCCAGAAGGACAGAAATAAAATACAGTCGGGTACATGGTGAAAAGGGCAGGTTTTGCATCTGTGTGGCAAAAATCTTATGGGTGTGTACCAGTTGGGGGGGTGCTCTTTCGGGTTCTTGCATGTAAGAACAAGATCTTAGGGTTTTGGTGGACTGCAAGTTGAATACGAGTAGCTGGCGTAATGCGGTAGTAAAGAAGGCAAATTTGACCTTAAGGCGTATCAACAGATGCATGAGATCTGGGACACAAGATGTGATAGAAGAACCATGGTGTACCACATTGGTCAGATCCCATTTGGACTATCGTGCCCAGTTCTGGAGGCCTTTTTATAGGAAGGGTATAGAAACTTCAGAGCGGGTACAGAGGAGAGTGGCAAGGATGGTTAGGGGTTTCAAGGAGGAGGGGATCCAACCTGGCTCCCTCAGATTAGAGTCCGTGCTCTTAACCATTACACCAGACTTAAGCCTTATGAAGAACGGCCGTGGGAAGTTCGCCCTGGAGGAGATGGGGGGGGGGATATGATTATTCTTTTTAACTGTTTGACGGGTGATCGTCTAGTGGGCAGGGAGCTGTTTCAGTTGGTAGTGGAGCCACAGGACTTGTAAAGCTGGGTTTAAATTATGGATGCGGGATATTTTATTTATTTATTTATTTATTTATTGTTAACATTTTTACCCTGCCCTCCCCGCGGGCGGGCTCAGGGCGGCTTACAAGAGGGCACAAGCCCATACATAAAAACAGGATAAAACAGTAAAACCATTAAATAACAACAAAAACAAGAATAAAGTGCTCCATACAAACAAGATGGTCTCTGAAGATGGTATCAGTCCTTTCATTGGGGTGGTATTGTCCCGTTGATGGTCCAAGGCCAGTCCAGCGGTATCAGTGCCATGCAAGGTGGTGGCAGATCTTCCGGGGACCGCCCCTGATCCCGTTGTTATCTCCACCATTGGTGGTGGTGGTGGTGGTGGTGGTAGTGATAGTGGCGGCTCCTATTTGAAAGCCTGGCGGAAGAGCTCTGTCTTGCAGGCCCTGCGGAACTGCATAAGGTCCCGCAGGGCCCTGATCTCCTCCGGGAGCTCGTTCCACCGGGTGGGGGCCGCCACTGAGAAGGATCTGGCCCTGGTTGCAGCAACCTCCTTTTAACAATGAGGGCAGTCCAGGGGTGGGTTGGGTGGCCCAGGGACCCAGGGGTTAGGGTTCTCCCACCTTGGAAGTGTTTAAGCGTAGGTGGGATGATCATTTTTCAGGGATGCTCTTGGTGCGGGGGTGGGTGGGGGGTCGGACTGGGTGGTCTTTAGGCCCCTTCCATCTTTTTAATTCTATAATACATCAGAAAAATAAGTGCATGAGTGTTAACTGTTCCAAGAACTTACTTTCCAGCTTAGCAGACAGAATTGCTTGCAGAAGAGTTTTGCTCTGTGAGAGCAGCAGAGGCTGCCCTGCTCCCAAAAGATCCTTCCTGAGAGTGAAGCTGACCCTCTGGGGCCGATGTGAGGCACAAGGTGGCCCGGGACAGGGCCTTCTCTGTGGTGGCACCCTGACTTTGGGGATATCCTCCCTGCTGCACTTCATGCATGAGGCCTGATCCTCATGGGGTCAGGCACAAAGCTTAAGCATTCCTGTTCAGCCAGGCTCGTCCTTAGTTGTTTTGGTGTTCTGAAGAATGATCAGAACAGCTCAGCTGGATGACACCAGTGGCCCACCTAGTCCAGATGGAGCAAGCCAGTTCCCGGGGCAATTTCAGGTGAAGAAAGCAGCACCTCGGCTGGGGAAGGGGCTCTGAGAGCCCCCCCCTTTCCGGTGCGGTGCCCTGCGAGTTCCAGGCACGTCCGCATGCAGCGGGGAAGCACAGACATCCAGAAGACATCCCCTGATTCAGCCGGGGAGAATGGAACGGGTCGTTAGGCCTGGAGGATGCTTGGCGGGCATATACATTTTCTCCAGCGATCCTTTGGGCTCCAGGCGGCTGTCCTTCCTTTCCAGACGTGCTTCGTGGTCAGACGCCGGGCTCTCCCCACGTAGCCTCCTCCCCCTGCTCGTTGCCCTTGAGGGCGGAGTTGCTCAGCTCCTGGCAGGAGCGACCTTAGAAGCTCCTCTGGGACTGTTTAGCTGTTGTCAGCGGTCTGGCTTCCTTTTGGCTCAGCCTCCTTCCTCATTGGGATCATGTTGCTTTAAGATCTCCTAGTACCTTTGTAAAGGGATGGGTGCAGTTAAATCGATGTCTTCTGCTTGCGTTCCAGGCTGCCTCAGACTTAGGTGGAGAGGTGGGATACGGGTTTTTTTGATATAAGTGAATGAACAACAAGCCCCAGTCTCCACCAGTCTTGCTTGAAACGTTTTGGGAAGGGGATGGAGCAGGTACACGGGAGGCGGGCGGGCGGCCTGCCTCTGGGTTTGCTCTTCTGGGCCGGGGCCTGACCCCTCCCTCCTTGCAGGAGCTGGGCAACTTGCGCCGCCTGGTTTGCCTGGATGTCTCTGAGAACAAGCTGGAGCAGCTGCCCAGTGAGATCAGCGGGCTGGTGGCTCTGACGGATCTGCTCCTCTCACAGAATCTGCTGGAGAATATTCCTGACGGGATTGGTGAGTGTGGGCTGCTGGCACACTGGGGCGGTGGGCACCGGGGGGGGGGAAGCTGTGGGGTGTCGTGCTCCTCTTCGGGGGGCCTGCCTGTGCGTGCTGAGAGGCTGGGTAAATAGGGGGGGCACGTTTTTTAGAACATAAATGTCTTCTGTTCCAAACAGGCTGGCTTAGCATGGTGCGTGTGTTAAGACAGCATTTATAATGCCTTAGGATGTATTGGTGGCCCTCCATTGAACACACTGAATTTTCCCAAAGAGCCACAGGAAGAAGTTTTTTGAGGTCAAGAATGAGCAGACTGTGAGATTCCTGACAGATCAGAGTGAAGCTTTAGCGGCTCAGCATCCTCTCTGTAAGCCGCTCTGAGACACTTTTGGGCAGTGAAGGGCCATGGGGTATACATCCAATCTCTTCTCTCTCTCCTTCACTTTCGCACTGTGGCCGAATCAGACACCTCGTGGAAGTCCACGAGCTGGACGGGCAGTGGCAGCCTGGGCCTGCTCTGTTCCCTTCCCTCCACCCCCCCCCCCCAGTAACAGGGATAAGAGGAGCCCACGTTGGATCAGAGAAGCCTCCCTTGCCCCAGACCCAGCGTTCTTCTCCGTGCCTTGTGGCTGAGAGCCACTGAGAGGGGCCTCTGTAGAAGTTCTGCATCCCTGGAGATTAGTCTGAGCCTGGCCACCACATGCAGATGGGTCTGCTACACTCGGGGGGCGGGGGGGCGGGGGACGGACTCCCAGAGAATTCGTGATCTAATTTTCGTATGAACTCCAAGGAGTATATAACGAACCAAGTGACATAATTTTATTGATTAGATTTTTTTTTTCGTGGCCGCTCTCCCAAAGGGTCTCACAGTGACTGACAACATTAAAACCATATAAATAAGGTGAAAACAACATCAAAACAAATAAATTTAAAACATTAACATTAAAATGTTAAACAATTAAAACATGTGGCTCGCACCATATCCACGAATAAAGACATCCCAGACATTTGGATCCCTCTCCAAAGGCCAACGTAGGCGATTCTGCCTGGCCTGCGCCCTCCAGGAGTCAGCCAGTCCGCCAGGGCGTGGGGGGTGTCGTCCGGGAGTGCCTGGGCCACAGGGTAGGGGCCACAGCAGAGAAGGCCGTCCTGGGGCCAGGCCCCTGCAGGAGGCCCCCAGAGGAGGACGGCTGAAGGGCGCGCGGGGGCTGGGGTGGGGGGTTGTAGTGAGGTAGGCCATCCTGTAAGGATGAGGATCCCATGAATGGCTTTGGAGGTGAACACCAACACCTTGAATTGGATCCAGAGACTACTGGAGGGATATGAGCTTGACCGTGATGTTCTGGTCAGCAGCCGGGCAGCTGCCTTCTGGACCACCTGCGTTTTCAAGCGTAGCCCCACGTAGCGCAAATAAATGCATTGTGCCATGTGACATTTTCTAGAATAAGTAAATATGTGAATATATATATCAAAATACATAGAAGATCTGGCATGAATCCTTCCATTGTGGTTGTGTTCTAGTGGCTGGCCTGTGAGCAAATTGTCTGCCTTGTTGACTTCTTATATGTTGTCTGAACACTGGGAAACGTGGCCGAAAGAAGGGCTTGAAGCAGTGGCTTCTGCTGTGGTAGTGGATGAGACGGTCTCTTCTCCTGGGAGGAGTCTCTCCCGTGGCTGTCGGCAGGGGTGCAGCTCTTTGACAGTTCCATGGGAGGGGCTTCTCTGATGTTCCCGGGGTTGACCTTTCTATGAGCAGATAGCAGGCTGCTGACTTCCTTCCTCTTGGAGCAAGACTCCTCCTCACTCCAGAAGGCCTTCTTTCCTTTCTTAAGAACATAAGAGGAGACAATGATGGATCAGGCCAATGGCCCATCCAGTCCAACACTCTGTGTCACACAGTGGCCAGAAATACCAGGTGCCATCAGGAGGTCCACCAGTGGGGCCAGGACATTAGAAGCCCTCCCACTGTTGGCCCCCCTAAGCACCAAGAAGACAGAGCATCACTTGCCCCAGAGTTCCTATCTATACCTTGTGGCTAATAGGGGCCACTGAGGGACCTCTGCTCCAGATGTTTATCCAGTTCCCTCTTGAAGCCGTCCATGCTTGTAGCCGCCACCCTGTGGCAGTGAATTCCAGGTGTTAATCACTCTTTGGGTGAAGAAGTACTTCCTTTGATCTGTTCTAACCTGACCGCTCAGCAAGTTCATGGAGGCCCACAAGGAGTTCTTGTATTGTGAGTAAGGGAGAAAAGTACTTCTTTCTCGACCTGCTCTATCCCATGCATTGTCTTGTAAACCTCAATCATGTCACCCCTCAGCCGTCGTTTCTCCAAGCTAAAGACCCCCAAGCGCGTTAACCTTTCTTCATAGGGAAAGTGTCCCAACACTTTTTTTCTTGTCCTTCTTTTCTCTTTCTTAGCTGAGAGGGGGGCTGGAGGCTTTGGCCAAAGTATCACATTCAGGGAGGAGATGGGCTCTGTTGTGGGGGCAACCTCCGTCTCCCCAAATGCCCCTTTGCCCTGCAACGTAGGCGTCTGGCAGCAAGAGCTTCAGCTCCCCCGTGGCAGCCACCTGTGTTGGGTGGGCCTCTGGCTGCCTCCCCAGCCTTGGCCAGGAGTTGGAGGGCGTGGTACAAAAGAAGTGCGGAAGCACACAGGTCGGGACCTGGCCACCATTTGGCATCTCTGCCTTTGCATCATGCTAGCTGGCAACAGGACACACGCACACGCACAGCAGCAGAGTAAGCGTGAAAAGGAAGAGGTGAGCTTGCTCTTCTCCACTTGTGTGCTGGTGAAGGAGGCAGTTGGTCTTCCTAGCCTTTTGTGGATGGGCTTGGTTTAAAATACCGCAAGAGGGACATGGCAGTGCAGGCTGGCCTAACGGACCCTGGAAGCTCTCACCGAGCCCGGAGGCGAAGAGGAGTCCTTTAGACATGGTAAGGCCATTCAGACCCGTGCGTTCCCAGAGCGCCCAGTCCACTCATCTTGAAGGAGGTTAAAGCCTCAGTCTCCTTGGCCCTCTCTGTTGAAGGCAGCAGGTCTCTTGGCCTCTTCCAGCTCTGGGGGATCAAAGGCGTTCCTGAGGCAGCAGAGCATTTCAGACTTCCCTTAGTCGTCAGTGCCCTGATGGCTGACCTCACCGCCAACTTGGCCTTCGAGGCTGGTTCAGATGACTGTCAAAGTGATCCCAGTGCCAAGAGGATTGTTGCTGCTCTGCGAAGAAGCTCTGCCACTTCCTCCATGACGTTTCCAGCCTCCATTGTGTGACCTTTGTTTCCCAGGGTGATAGATAGGTGGTCAGCCAGCCTTTCAGCAGCACAGCACGATATCCCTAAGGACCTGACAGGTGAATTAAAGAAAATACTGCTTTGCAGTCGATGCATTGCTAGTGTCGTAAGTCAGTTTGTGCTGAGTGATGGCTCAGATTTCTCAGGCGAAGAGCTACCTACTAGCCCTGAGCCAGTGATTGAATGCCTCCTCTGCGGCGAGACTCTGGGGGGGGATTTAAACTTTACCCCCCCCTCAGTCTGAAGACATGCCACAGAGGCAGTACTCTCCATTCAGTGATGGAAACCTCCCCCCCGGTGACTTCGGGGGGGGGATTATTATACCCTATGGGGACAGTCCCCATAGGGTATAATTGAGGCAAATAAATTTGGCAACTCCAAAAACTCCTGAACAACAGTATCATATCAATACTGGGGTTTGGGAATATCAGCAAATGCCAACATTTTTCGGGTTTGGTAGATCCGAACCTGAAAAATTCTGAATTTTTTTTTTGGTGCACACCCCTTATCAGGAGTCACAGACTACACCTTTAAGTTCTGAAGCAGTAAACACGTCTTCAGCAGCCACTCCCAGCCCACCTGGCTCACCCACATCCTTGCAGTGCCGACACTGTCAGAGACGCTTAGAGTTGCAAGAAAGGAGGAGAAGTGCGAGACTCCTGGTCTGTCGCCAGCTGTCAATTGAAGACACGAATTAGTAGCTTCAGGATGACTGCCAAGGAATTGGCTGAGAGTTTAGTTTCATTAAGACTTGGCTATAAATCCAACTGGGAGAAGCCGCAATTTGTGGACGCAACAAGTACACTTTGCTACTGAGCCACCAACCTTGCTGCTACTGGACCTCTGCAGCCTTGAGCCTCGGACTGGACCTGACAACTGACTTTTCTGGAACTCCTTGACCCTGAACTGAACTTTGGTAAACCTGCTCTCAGGAACCCCTGTCTTTTGGACTGGACTTTGGTTGCTCTCTGCAGCCTTGCCTGTGGCCTGCCCTGCTGGACCTCAGCCCGTGCCTCCTGGGGAAGCTACATCAGTACAGCCTGGTGCTCTTCAGACATGATTGCACGTAGAAATACGTTGCGGACCAGAGGGCCCAGACCAGAGGAGCGGCCGTCCCTTTTCACAGGGTGTCAGGTTCTTCGGAGATTCTCTGGATCCCTCCCTCATGGAAGCTAAGGACAAGGGGGGGGGGAAGCCTTACCCACCAGAAAAAGGGGATGAGCCAAGCAAGACGCTTCAGCTGGGAACTCCTTTCAACGGCACTGCGGGGTCCTGATGCTGGTCGGAACCACCATGGCAAGGAGGGAGGGGGGATCCTTCTTCTCCACCCCCCGGGGGTGTTTTCCAGGGGCATGAGGGCAGTGAATGAAATAGCTTGGAGTGGCCCAATCCCCTCCTCCCCCCCCCCTGCACCTCAGTGGTCCCGACCAGCAGCGGCCTGCCGTGACACAGTTGAAAGGCAATCCGGCCCGGGAGCTGGCTCTTTGGAACAACGGCGTGTCCCCTGACAAGCCCAGGGCCACCCGCCTCACCTTGTCTGACCCTTCGCCCAGAACCAGAACGGGAAACGTCTAGGCCTTCGAGGGCAGAAGGCCTGATCCTGAGGGGGGTCCAGTAACAGAGGCCCTTTGCCCAGAAGCCGGGGGAGGAAGGGAGAAGTGCCCCTGCCGGGCCACACCGCCAGGCAGTCTGCTCCGCATGTGGGGGTGTGTGTGTGTGTCTTCAGCACTTTGTGGCGGTCTGTGGGCCATGGATCTCGGGTGGTTGTTGCTGGAGATGGTTACAAAAGGCCATTCTTTGGAACCACGAAGGCCCCTCTTGAGAGACTTGTTCAGGTCCTGAGAAACAAGAGTCCACGCAGGAGACTTCCGCAAGTCATCTTTGATGGGAGAGGGAGGTGTTTGTGGCTTGTTGTTTTATCTTACAATGCTGTAATTATCTCTTTAAGCCACACTTAGCCACGAGGAAAGGTTGTCTATAAATACCTTAATTTAAAACCTTGTCAAAAGTTCAGGAACACCCACATCGTTGACCTGTGTGCGTTTCCAGGGCAAAGGTCAGGTGCGGCCCTTTATGTCAGCGACCAGAAGCGGGGGGGGGGGCAGTTCACACCTCTGCTCCGTGCTGCCAGGCAGGCAGGCCCCCCCTTTCTGGCCGGGAGCATCGTCAGACTGCCCTCCCCACTTCCTTTTGTCCAGGGTCCCCCCCTGGGCGTGCAGTGCTTTCCTGTTCCCCCAAGAGGAGACCACCAAACCCCCCCACCACCACCACTGGAGAGAGGAAAATTCATTTACCTACCATAACTTTCTTTTCCCCTCCCCCCCAGCAAAATGAGAGATTTGTTTCAAGGTCAAGCTGTCACACCTCAACAGGTTTCATGTCAATAGAGTTTCCAGTGAGTAGCTTCCCATGAGGGCGTCAAAAGCTACGTGGGAGGCCCTCTTCCCAGGAGAAGAGACCATGGAGAATGGAAGTCCACAGGGAGGGAGGGAGGGAGGCAGCAGATGTTCCCCTCCCCTCCCCTCCCCTCCCCTCCGCCCCCCCCCCTGCTCAGGCCAGGGCTCTCTCCCTTCGTCTTCAGGCCAGCTGAAGCAGCTCTCCATCCTGAAGATTGACCAGAACCGGCTGCTGGAGCTGACGGAGGCCATTGGGGAGTGTGAGAATTTGTCCGAGCTCATCCTGACGGAGAACATGCTGACGGTACGCGTGCCGGGCGGGGGCGGGGCGGGGGGGGCCTGTCCCTGTGCTCTGGCTCCTGCCTGGGGGGCGGTGGGCACGGGTGCCAGCCTTGCCTGCTTTCGTGCTCCCTCTCTGGGCAGCTCACTCCCCCCAGTGCCGCAGGGCTCGGGCGGCCCCTCTGACCACGCGCCGTCTCCCTCTGGCTCAGGCCCTGCCCAAGGCCCTGGGGAAGCTGGCGAAGCTGACAAACCTCAACGTGGACCGGAACAGGCTGCTGGCTCTGCCCCCTGAGATAGGGGGGTGCAGCAGCCTGAACGTGCTCTCTCTCCGCGACAACCGCCTGGAGCTCCTGCCGCCCGAGCTGGCAAGCACCACGGAGCTGCATGTGCTGGATGTGGCCGGCAACAGGTGAGGCTGCCCGGGGGGGGAGGGGGTGTGGGTGCCCGCGGGCAGGCACGTCTGTCTGCCTGTTTGCTTACTGTACTTGTGGCTCGCCTCTCTCACGGACACCCAAGGCGGATCACACAGTGTGAATCGGTACAATCAGTTGGATGCGACATCTAATAAGCCATGGAACGGGATGAGGTGCACAGAAATCTGAAACGAAGCACACAGTACTAGATATAACATAGAACAGAAAAATGGGACTACACAAGCAGAAAGCAAAGCAGTGAGAGCATACAGCAAACAGAGGATACATACCCCCCCCCCAGAATTCCCGTGGAGGAGCAGGCATCCCTTCTATTTATTTATTTATTATTTAGTTTGGTTTATATCCTGCCCTCCCTGCCAATGTGGGCTCAGGTTGGCTTACACAAAACTTTATAGAAATACAGTTAAAACCTGTCATAAACAAATAAATATAAAGTAACAATCATTTAAAATACTCCTAGCACACTGGAACATGATAAAAGCAAGAGCAAAGTTATTTATAAAACAGCCTAGGTAACCATCTATTCCGATGATGTTCACGCCAGCTCATATCACCCAACTTATTGTGCAGTGGTAAAGGTGGTAAGCCATGGCACAGGCTGGAGATGGAAATGGTGAAGCTAGGGCACAGGGACACTCCTTGGTGTATAATGCGGCTCCTTAATCGAAGGCCTGGTGGAAGAGCTCCGTCTTACAGGCCCTGTGGAACTGTAAAAGGTCCCACAGGGCCCTGATCTCTTCCGGGAGCTCGTTCCACCAGTATGGAGTCACCACTGAGAAGGCCCTGGCCCTGGTTATTGCCAGCCTGGCATCTTTTGGGCCTGGGAGGGCCAGCCGATCTTGTGTCCCTGAACACAGTGCTCCCCAGGGAACATGTGGGGAAGGGTGGTCCCTTAGGTATGCCGGACCCTGGCCATATAGGGCTTTAAAGGTTAAAACCAGCACCTTGAAACGAATCCGGTATACTATTGGCAGCCAGTGCAGTGCCTTTGGTGAAGGCTGGATGTGCTACCGAAGGGTGATCTGCAGTGAAACCAATCAAACATGAGAGGGTAACCAGTTACATAGTAAAAAGCAAAGAATTTACATGAAAGTCCTCCAGCACATAACCGCACATGGGAAGTAGTCCACTTTCAGACACTGTATCCTTCCGGGAAAGGAAACCTGCAACCCCGTTGTTGCACCCAGCAATCTGTTCAGTTCTTATGTTGAACTCCTCAGTCTTCCACAACCATCTCTGAAGTTTGGTATTTATTGCTTCTCAGTTTGTAGCTGTAGTATAGAAGTGTAGCTGGTTAAGAGGGTGAACCCTTGCCCCCACACCCAAGGTCTGAGTTCTTCCCGTGCCCACCCAGTTTCCAGACCCAGAGAAGCCCCCTTACTTGCCTCTCGGTCTTCAGGGGTTCCCAGTTCTGGGTTGCCTTTACCTTGCCCCTCATTGGTGGGATGTTCCCTCGACCCACTCTGTATCTCAAGGAGGCCACCCCTGGCATCGCAAACAGCCACTTTCCAGCTGAGAATCATAGAATCACACAGAGCTGGGAGGGGCCATCCAGGCCGTCCAGTCCAAACCCCCCCCCCTCAATGGAGGATTAGCCTGGAGAGTATCTCTGACAAGAAGTGTTTGTCCAGCTGCTGCTCAAAGACGGCCAGGGAGGGGGAGGCTCACCACCTCCCTGGGCAGCCCATTCCACTGCGGCACGACTCTGACTGTCAGAAAGTTTTTCCTTGGATCCAGCCGGCACCTTCCCGCCCTCAATTTAAACCCATTATTACAAGTCCCACCCTCTGCTGTCAACAGGAACAGCTCCCTGCCCTCCTCTAAGGGACACAGCCCTTCAAAAAGACTTCAAGGGAACAACCATGTCCTCCCTCAACCTCCTCTTCTCCAGACTAACCATTCCCAAGCCTTTCCTGACAGGGCTTGCTCTCCAGGCCCCCAATCACCCTCGTTGCTCTTCTCTGCACGCGCTTCATTCTGTCCACATCCTCTTTGAAGTGAGGCCTCCAGAACTGCACACACGACTCCAGGTGCGGCCTGACCCATGCAGTGTACAGCAGGACTATGACATCTTGTGATCTGGATGTGATGCCTCTGTTGACACACCCCAAGATTTCATTACCCTTTCTTGTTGCCACATCACACTGGCTGCTCATATTTAACTTTCAGTCCACCCTTACCCCAAGATCTTGTTCATACAAACTGCTACCCAGAAGTGTATCCCCCATCCAGTTTGCGTGTTCCTCATTTTTGTTACCCAGATGTAGAACTCGACACTTATCCTTGTTAAATTGCATCTTGTTCACATCTGCCCCCTTTTCCAGCATGTTCCGATCTCCTTGAATTCTATCTCAATCTTCTGGTTTGTTCGCTGCTGCTCCCAATTTGGCGTCATCTGCAAATTTAATGAGTAGCCCCTCCACACCCTCATCCAGACCATTTATAAAAATACTGAAAAGTACCAGGCCCAGAACCGAGCCTTGGTGCACCCCACTGGACGCCTCCCTCCATTCAGATGAAATGCCACTGACAAGTACTCTCTGGGTGTGGTTCTCCAGCCAGTTCCCCACCCACCTAACTATCCTACACTCCAGTCCACAGTACCTTAGTTTACCCATCAGAACATCATGGGGAACCCTGTCAAGAAGAGCTTTACTGAAATTCAGGTGAACAACATCAACAACATCCTCTCAATCCAGTAAGCTTGTCACTCAATTGAAGAAAGCAAGGAGGTTGGTCTGGCAGGACCTGTTGGGGACAAATCCGTGCTGACTTCCCTGGATCACCAAGTTGTCCTTTAGGTGCTCACAGATTGATCCCTTTAAAATCTGCTCCAGTATCTCTCCTGGGACAGAGGCCAGACTGACTGGTCTGTAGTTTCCTGGCTCATCCCTCCTCCCTATTTTGAAAATTGGGATAACAATCCTCCAGTCTTGTGGCACATCTCCCGTCCTCTAAGAGGTCAGGAAGATGAAGGACAAAGGGTCTGTGAGCTGTCTAGGAAGTTCTTTGAGCACCCTTGGGTGCATACCGTCTGGCCCTGGGGATTTTTACTCATTCAATGCAGCTGGGTGCTTCTCAACTACCTCTCTGTCCATGTCAACCAGCAGCCCAGATGCGATGACTTGCCTACTACTACCATCTGTTGATAAGCCTGTTCTCCTCTTCAGGGAGAAAATTGAGGCAAAATAGGCATTGAGTCTTTCTGCTTTCTCTCTGTCAGAGTTTCTCCATTTTCACCCAACAGTGGGCCCATCGCCTCTTTTATCCTGCATTTGCTCCTCACATATCTTGTTGTAGCGAGCCTTCCTGGCCAGCTTTAGTTCACTGTGAGATTTGGTCTCTCCGATGGCTGACCCTACAGTGCCTAGCAACCCTCAGTTACTCTTCTTTAGAGGTATGTCCTCGCCTCCATTTTTTGAACATTTCCTTTTTCTCCCTTAGCACATCACACAGTTCTCTGTTCATCCACATTGGCTTCTTGGATTCCCTACCATGTTTCCTTCTTGTTGGAATAGCAATGTCTTGAGCTTGCAAGAGCTCTTGTTTTAGGAGAGCCCACCCTTCACTTGCTCCCTTCCCTTCCAGCAGTCTTGCCCATGGAATGATTCTCATCATGCCTCTGAGTTTATTAAAATCTGCCCTACTGAAATCTAACATACACGTGTGGCTACGAACTTCCTTGGTCCCCCAACAGCAAAAGGACTTCTAGCAGGACCTGGTCGCTTCCCCCTAAGGCCCCCACCACCTTCACCCCATCTACCATCTTTTGTTTGTTGGTCAATATTAAGTCAAGTATGGCTGAGCCCCTCATAGCTTCCTCCACCATTTGATCAAGGAAGATGTCATCCAGACAGGTCAGAAAGAGAGAAATATCAATTAAAAACATCAGGCAGGGAGGAGATATTATTGAGGGGGGGATGTCAGACAAAAGAAGAAGGTCTTCGCCACCAGTAGCAGTTGGTCACAGAAGGGGGCAGGCGAATATCCACGGAGGGGGAGTTCTAGAATCTTGGTGCCCTGAGCACAAGGTCCCGTTCGTGTTCGTTCTCGTTCTCTCTCTCTCCCTCTCTCCCCCCCCCATTCTGTTTTATTGAAGAACTGGATTACAAATAAAGATTACAATTTTAGCTAGTAATATATACACACCTTACATCACAATTTCTTTTGTTTTTTTTAATAGAGGTACATATACATTTAATTGCTTTAATAATCTACAATAAAAGCTTCTTTTCTTTCTTCTATCTCTTCAGTTCTTCTCTCTTCTCAGTATTAACCTGTACTGCATTTTAAGTATTTTAAGCAAAGCTTTTCAACATAACCACAAAATTAAAACAAACTGCACAGGCTCAAAACCAATCATAGTGCTTCTTACTCTGTTCTTCTTTGAACCTGAGTTCAGTCTGAGCGAGGCCCATGGGCTGAAAGGGCTTGGCCTTTCACCCAAGGACTGTTGAAGGGAGGGCACGTACCCTTGCTCGCTCACCGCTACCCGGTCGCCCTACTTCAGATACAACCAGGGCAGTCCCCAGAGAAGAACGTGAATGCTTGTTGTTTAAAAGGAGTCTCTGTGTTCATCCGGCTCTTCCCGGTCTTCAGAACGACAGATCCTGGTTGCCTGAAAGGGAGTGGGAGGTGATCTCGCTTTCCTTTGGTTGTCTGTCTTCTCCCGTAGTTCACCTGGTGATACATTTAGCGCAGCCAGTCACTGCTCCCCAGATGCCTGGTCAAAGGCTGTGTAAACCCCCTGCTTCTGTTCCACACGGAGTCTGCCCGTATTCAGCCAGTGATACTTGATGTCTGACTCTCGGAGTTTAGTCATAATTGGTTTCAACTCCCTTCTTATCTTAAGGAATTCTGGTGGAAGATCAGGAAACACCCGTATCTTTACATCTTGATATTCCAAACTGGTTTTTTCTCTTGCCTGTGTTAATATCTGTTGTCTGGTTCTGAAGTCCTTGAAAACTACAACAATGTCTGGATAATAAACTGAAGTATTCTCTGTTTCCTCTCGTTGTCTGCCCACCCGATAGGCCTTTTGAATTAAAGGAGCCACTCCTTCCTCTAGATTTAAACTGCCAACCAGCCAATTAGCAATAAAGTTTTTTAATTCCGTTCCTTCTTCAACATTCGGTTTAAATCCTTTGAATTTCAGATGCAGCTCATGGGAACGATAATCCAAAGAAAGAATGTGTTCTCTAGCTCATAGATCAGGGGAGTTGCAGGCAGTTTGTTTCTCCAATGCAGATACCTTCTTTGAAGTGTAATCAGCTGTTTGCTTAGTTTGCTTAAACTGTTCTTCTAATTCATCCATACGCTGGAACGCTGGTTTTAGCATTTCCACCATGTCCATTCTTAACTCTTGTTGTTGTTTAGCAAGGCTGCTAAAAGAAAGTTTGTTGTAAGAGTGGGCCCTTCCTTATCAGTATTTCCTGAGTCCATTGTGGAGGAGGTTCCAGCTTCAGCTTCAGCTTGAGCAAAAATCTCTTGTCAAAGAAGGGATAAGGATCCATTTTTTGCTTTGCCTTCTGCTTCCCCTTCTTATCTTGCTTTGGAGGCATGTTTTCCGAATCTCCAATAAATTCAAGAGGGTTGAAAATAATAAAGAGCAAACACATGGCGAGCTGCGGGTAATGGCTACCAACCACCACTAGTCGTAGCCCTGCCCCCCTCGCACAAAGTCCCTTCCTCAGGTTGCCACCCACGTCACTTCAGAAGATGGGGTGAGCCGAAGCAGAGCTCGGGAGATGACTGCAGTGATCGGGGAGCTTCATTGTGGGAGCCCATACTGCACAGGGCAGGAGTCCCCAGCTTCCTCGAGTCGGCAGACAGCCTTTGGAATGCAGGCGCAGGGCGGCGGGCGCAGTGGGAAAAAGGGCGGCCGCACCCACCCACCCACCGAGAGGAAGTCCACGTGCAGGGAAGCAGAGTGGTAGTTTACAAAATACACTGTGAAAGAGGAGTGAGAGAGGAAATAAAACCGGCACTGTGGCAGCAACTGCTGCCAAAACCTTCAGCGTTTTAATACGTACAGCCAATTAGACCTCCAGTGGCCAGTCAGAAGTCATGCTAGGCAAGAGCCCCCCCCCCCCGGCCTCGCCTGCCTTCTGAAAAGGTCTGGTGGGCACCAGATGAGGTGGTGCTGGGTGCAGGGGCCCTGAGGGGATCCCAAGTGGTAGGGCTTTGAAGGTTAACCTCAGCACCGCAAATTGGGCCCTGATCTGATCAATTCAGATCCAACACAGATTGCCAAGACTGGAGGGATAGGGGCCCTAGCACCCACCCCAGTCAGCATCCCAGCCGCAGCCTTCTGTACCGGCTGAAGCTTCTAAATCCTTTTCAGAGGCAGCCCCACATGGCGTTACATATGTAAACACACACAAGCATTTCAAAAGAATGTAATGCACATCATAAGAAGGTAAAGGTAAAGGTTCCCTTGCTCGAAAGCCAGTCGAATCCGACTCTAGGGTTGCGGTGCTCATCTCCGTTTCAAAGCCGAAGAGCCAGCGCTGTCCGAAGACATTTCCGTGGTCATGTGGCCGGCATGACTAAACACCAAAGCGCACGGAACACTGTTACCTTCCCACTGAAGTGGTACCTATTTATCTACTTGCAATTTCTTGCTTTCGAACTGCTAGGTTGGCAGGAGCTGGGGCCAGAGACGGGAGCTCACTCCGTCATGTGGCAGACTCGGGTCTCAAACCGCTGAACTACTGACCTTCCACAGCCTGCAGTTCAGCGTCTTAACCATTTGAGCCACTACAGCTCCTTTTAATGCACATCATACAGTCACACAAACCACAGAATGATGATTCTTAAAGTGGTACAATCCAAAGTAGTCCACAAGCACAAGCCCTCGTAGGGGCAATAACAGTCCATAGAGAAAATACTGTCCAGTATACCCCGACGGTAGCGTATGTCATCTTCAGACTGTTTCGAAGACAATCCTAATCAAAGGGTATAGTGAGTCAAGGCAGGTGCAATGACCATGCACACATCAAAATACCATTTCTTATTAAGTCTTAAGGTTATGTATGGATAGTGTACTGGACAGTATTTTACCACTTTAAGAATCATATTCAATATATTCCGATGAGTATAACTATTACAGCCCGGAAAATCTACAACAGCTAGTATTACTGTTCGTCTTAAAAATTTTTGGGAGAGTTTCTACCTTTCCATTTCTAGATTTACACTCTCCCTTCCCGGTTAGTTTTATGATCCAGAAGGTTTTGCTGGTCCAGAACGTCGCGGCGCATATTCCCACAGGGACATCATTGAGAGCATGCATACATCCGGTGCTCCGCCAGCTGCACTGGCTTCCAGTTGAATACCAGGTCAGGTTCAAGGTGTTGGTTCTAACCTTTAAAGCCCTTTGCGGTCTGGGACCAGCATACCTTCAGGACCGTCTCTCCCAAGACATCCCCCAGAGAGCATTACGCTCTGCATATCAACGTCTACTGGTGATCCCTGGCCTGAAGGAAGTCTGCCTTGCCTCGACCAGGGTCAGAGCTTTCTCAGCTCTGGCCCTGGCCTGGTGGAACAGTCTCTCGAGTGAGATCCGGAGGTGTTCTGCCAGGCCCATGGTTGAGGCGGTGGGAACCCAAACGGTATTGGCTTCCCCTTGCTCTGCTCGGCTTTACTCCATCCGCATTGCTTCCATCCGGCACTGATTTTGTCTGCTCGCTCCCCCCCCCCCGCTTTAGTTACCTCTGCCTGAACACACACAGGGATCCCGGGAGCAGATGTCTTCAGCCTCTGCCCACCGCCCAATCAGTGAGAACTGAGGTGGAGTGAAAGTGCTGCTCCTGTTACTTGATATGTTCCAGCGTTTTTGTGTGTCTCTGTTTTCAATGATTGTTATTTTAAGTTATTTATATGCTTATGATATGTTTTAATTGTATTCTAATTGTATTCTATAAATTGTTGTAAGCCGCCCTAAGCCCGCCTTGGCGGGGAGGGCAGTATATAAATTAAACCAATCAATTAGTCAATCAAGTGGACTATTAGGATAGTGTAAATTTAGAGGTTGAATTTTAAATTATTTATTATATTTTAATTGGTTGGTTTCATCCGTGAGGGTGCCCATGTGTCTCGTCACCTGTTGATCCCGCCTTTCCTCCAGAGCGACGAGGGCAGTGCCCAGGGACCTGTGCCCTCTGGCTGCGGGGGTGGTGGGGTGGGTGGGGAAGGGCGGCAGGGGACGGGTGTCCTCGCCCGCTGTGCCTCCTTGCCCTGAGCTGCCCCCCTCTGATGCAGGCTGCAGCACCTGCCTTTTGCCCTGACCAGCCTCAGCCTGAAGGCGCTCTGGCTGACCGAGAACCAGTCGCAGCCGATGCTGAAGTTCCAGACGGAGGACGACGAGAAGACGGGAGAGAAAGTGCTCACCTGCTACCTCCTTCCCCAGCAGCCGTCCCCCAGCCTGGGTATGTGGGCCTCTCTGGGCCAGCCTCTCCGGCCCCCGGCCTGGTCAACGGGGAATCATGGGGGGGGGAGTGCTTCAGGCTGCCTGCTCCTACACGCCTCCCCCCCTCTTCCCCTTGCAGAGAACCTCCTGCAGAGCAGTGTGGACGAGAGCTGGACAGATACCAACCTCAACCGGGTCAGCGTGATCCAGTTTGTGGATGAACCCCGGGTGGACGAGGAGGAGGAGGAGGAGCTTGGGACCGAGAAGAGGGTAATAATGGGGGAAGGGCCGGGTGCATGCCAGGCAGCAGGCGGGGGCTCCTCCTCCTGGCCTCTAGAGCAACTCCTGCCCCCTGTGGGAGGGAGGGTGGGACGCTGGGGCCCAGAGGGGGGGCAGGCGCTGCTGCAGCAGGGGGTTGCCCGTGTTCTGCAGGTGCAGGACCATCAAGCAGACAGGGGGGTGGGGGGCATTTTGCCTTTTTGCTTCCGGTTGCCAGACCCCTGGGGAAATCGGTTCCCAAGAACAGTCATTCCAGAGAATAGAAAGTTTACTGAGCCATTGATAGGATCCGGACTCTGGACGTTCTGTGTTAGAACTAGGGGGAAGCGTGCGAGGCAAGCCATTACACCTGGATCAAGCAGGACCCTATTGGCCCAGGGCCAGTCACACCTCAGCTGTGAGGCCTGCCGAAATAACGGCTCATGGTTCCCAGAGGGAAGGAGACACCAGGCTCTGCCACTTGCCTAGGCAACAAGGGCAACATAGAAGAGGCTAAAAGCGAAAGTAGACATTCTTCACACTCCCCTCTGTCTCCACGGCAACCGCGCCTGGAAAAGCGGGTGTGAGGTTGGCGTGGAGCAGCTCCGCCCTCTTGTAGTGCAGGACTTGTGCAGAGAGGATGGGTCGACTCCATTTCCCTGTTTGCCAACTGCTTCTTTTCTAAGGGTCTGCAGCGTCGTGCAACCCCTCACCCAAGTGAGCTGAAGTCCATGAAGCAGGCGATCGAAGGACGGCGCAGTGAGGCTTACGCTGCCCGAGCGGGTCTGGACCGGGACTCTTCCAACCCAGGGGTGAGAAGCCGCGTGGCCCCTTGTGGAAATCCTCCTCTGTTGGAGGAGGGCGGGCTGTGGCACTGTTGGACCTGATCCACCGCCTGAGCGGGTGTGTTTGGGCTGTGCTGCAAGTCCGGGGCGGGCAGGGGCGGGCTGAGTGCCTCCTTAAGAGCAGGCGGTGGTCCTGGGCTCTGGGAAGGAGGCGGCTGGCCTGGCCACCCCTTTGGCTCTTCCGAGACTCCAGGCGTGGGTGCTCCTCTCGGGCGATCAGCTGCTTGCCAGCCTTCCCCTCTTGCGGGGGCCTTCGGGCCGCTGACGCTTGGGGAGGGTAAGCGTCTGGATGCATTTCAGCTGGGCTCCAGCGCAAAGGTCACCTGTGCTGTTCTCGGTGACTGGGGGGGGGCAACAGTGGGGGGGCTTCTGGTCCTCCTGGCCCCACCGCTGGACCTCCTGGTGGCCCCTGGTATTTCTGGCCCCCGTGTGTGACACACAGAGTGTTGGCCTGGAGGGGCCGTCGGCCTGATCCAACATGGGCTTCTCTCTTGTGTTCTTATGCTGCTGGGCGAGCTCTTGGGAGGGCTTTTGTTCGACACGGAAGCTGATTGCGGCGCTTTCCATTGCTGAGTGGTTGGTTTTGTTCTGTTCCGGATTTTACGCTCCTTTGTCGATCTGCCTCTCTCCTGGTTGGCCTGCTTCAGGGAATTTTTGGGTGTTCATGCTGTGTGTCTAAATTGTTCTTTTGACTATAAGCTGCTTTTTGTAGGTCAATGGGTTAAAAAGCCTATCAGAAACGTTTTCAGCAAATCTCCCTGGGAGGCAGATGGGTAGAGTGTGACCCTGTCCGGTTCCTCGGGCCTCGGAGCTGAGCGATCAGCCAGCCGTGTGTTGGGACTGTCTGTCGCCCCCCCCCCAGTCTTTGCATTTCCACGAGGCCGATTCCACTAGGTGGCACTGGGGGGGCTGTCCCCCCTCCTCTGCAGCCCTGGTTCTGAGGGGGGGGGGCTCCCCAGGGCACTGCCGTGAGCTCCTTTTGCTCTTCCGGCGTCTCCGTGTGACACTGCCGGGTGGGACGGTCTGGGCAGCTGGCGGCTGTGAAAGACCCCTGATTCTCTGTCTCCTTTCCGTCTTGGTTGGGTGGCCTCGTGGGATCCCTCTTCACGGTCTCCGTGCCGCACACCCTGACGGCTGGGGGGGGTGTATCTGCGCACACACAGGAGGGGTTTAGAGAAGCTTCTGCAGCTGGAGTTACAGGGACTCTTCTGCGCTGGGCCCACCCGCCAGGAGCAACGGGTGGCGACACGGGTGCTCAGAGGGGCCGGGCCCCCACTTCCCAGCCCGTTCTTCTTGGGTCACCGCAGTGGCGGAGGACTTCTCCCACGAACGAGGCCAGCTCTTTTCGGAAAACGGTAGCCCTTTCTTGCCAGAGGTATAATTCTGCTGACGAAGGGCTCCTCTTTCCTCCTCCTGCCTGGCTTTCCAGGCACATCAGGTCACACCCCCCCCCCCCGGTTTGGCCAGGAAACAGACCAGAGGAAGAGTGATTCCTAGGGGCCCCTCCTGCCCCACACCCTCCCTCCTGCCCCTTTCCTCTTTTTGCATGGTCACACAGAGTGCCCCCTGTGTCTGGGAGAGCAGCTTCAGGCTGGTTCTTGCCAGGACAGTCTTCAGTGGACTTGGGTCCGTCTGCCCTGCCCCCGCCTTTTGCGGGCCGAGCAGATTCTCTCTCTCTCTTGGGGGCCCCGTGGTCCCTGCCCCCCCCCCACCGTGCAGGTGACCCAGCAGGCTGCCTTGATCCCAGCCTCAGACCTTGTGTTGGGAGGCCAGCGGGAGCGAAGGACTGAGCCCGAGAGGACCGTGGCAGAAGGAGCACCTCTCAGAAAATGAGAGTTTGGCTGGGCCGGATGAGATCTCAAGCCGCTGCCAGACCCACCAGGAGGAGGAGTTCACCTCTCCAGCTCACTCGGTGCTGCAGGCCCCTCACAGTGAGGCCCCCTGCTTCTTTTTCTTCCTTTTTCAAGTCCCAGAATCCCCTCCTTAATTCTGCCAACGTGGAGGAAGAGGAAGAGTTTGGAAATCACAAAGTCAGAGGCCCTAAAGCATGAGCTCTTTCATGGTTGCAAAAAGCAAACAGCTCCAGCTTCAGAATGATTGTGTGCAGGCACAATGAATCGATAGAGCGAGTGGAAGAGCATGCCCTTGAACAGCAACAGAGGGCAGCACCCGAGCACAGAGAGAACCTTTCTTGCGGCCAAGGAAGGTGGTGTGTGTGTGTGTGTGTGTGTGTGTGTGTGTGTGTCTGTGTGGGAGGGGAGCGCCCATCCAGCACAGGCACTGGGGCCTCGTGTCGCTGACAGGTGGGAAGCCCTGGCTTGCAGAGCCTCGAGGTGACTGTGCCGATGGCCCCCGCCTGCCCACCCACCAGCGGTGCTTAGGAGCGCAGGAGCCGGAGAGGGCTGGTTGCCCCCACTCCCCATCCCTGCTGGCGCTTGGGCAGGGGAGAGGAGAGCGGTAGCTGAGAAGGAGGCACTCCCTGGCTGTGTGGCTGTGTGGAACTTTGTCTCGGGGCCTCCTAGGAAGGAAGGAGCAGCCAAGCTGGTGTGCAGAACCCCCTCCCCTGGTGTTCTTCCGTTTTGGGTAGATTGAACCTGGAAAATATTGGTATTTCCTGTTACTCCCGAATCTCAATAGCAATGTGGTATTCAGGTTCGAGAAATAGTTGGGATTCTCAATTTTTGGGGGGTCGGATGGACGTGAAAAGAAGAGAAATGAGAGGATCAGGTGGTGGAGTGGCGGGAGGCGAGAGCTCCACGCGGCCTCGGCTGATCCTGGGCTGGCTCCTCCCTGCTGCACGGTCTAAACGGAGCTGCCAAGAGGAGGAGGAGCCGGCCCCACCCCGGGGTTCTCCCTGCCTGGCTTAAACCGGACTGCCCGGCAGAGCCACCCTCATCCTCCATTGTTTCAAGGGGGGGGGGGAGGCATTTAATTTTTTTTAATCATCTATTTATTAGTTTTTAGACAAACAAACATAAGCAAGGACATATAGATATTATGACACATCAACTTTCAAGTTTGGGTTAATAGATTGACTATAAATTATCCAGTCAAAAAAGCAATTACTTATACATTTAGTACCATATCTTAATAATCTTTCCCAATCTTATATCTAATATCACGTATTACAAGACCCTATAAATTACTCCAACAAATAAATTTATAATAGATCAGACTTACAATTCCTATAGTCTCAAAGCCATTCCTGATAAACAGTCTTGACACTGGTGTCGCTATTCCACTTGTTTGAGCAACTAATATTCTATCCCCTATTTGAACTGCTATGAATATATCCATTTTAAATTAATTTTAAGCCTAAAGAAACCAATGGCAACAAACAACAGCTTATGGCTCTACTTTCTTTATGTCATAATTCTCTAGCTTCCATCTTTCCACCCCTCATTTTTTTATACTTTTTTTTTTTTAAACTAAAGATATGGTTGACTCTACTAACTAGCTCTTAACATGAAGTACAAATTTTGGTAGACCATATCATTGTTGTTATCTTAGTTACTTTACCATAACATTAAAACCCCTCTTATATTTCTGTTCAAATATCTCATTCCTTGTTACTAATTTAAATTCAATTTATTCTAAGGACATATATAAAGCAAAAGCCACCAAAGACATAGAAATAAGAATACTCTACCAACAGGTTGTAAAGTTGCAGACTATCCATTATTCTGTCACAATAACAACAGGGTCCTTTTTTAATTTAAGCCGTTTCTACCCAAAACTAAAGAGCTACCACAAAAAATACACAACTTTTGTCTTTTCCTTTCCCCCACTCTTTCTAAAGCCTCCCTTTTCTTTTCAGTTTCCTTCAGGTGTCTCAAATTTTTATATTCACGAGGTTCCTTTTCCAAATCAGTTCTTCCGTTTTCCAAAAATCCCGTCTTCAGTCTTTTTTCCACTTTAAGTCTCTTTGCCAAGTTCTTCCCTCCTCTTTCTCTTTTTTCCATCTTTCTCTTTTTTGCACATGTTCTCTTTGCTGTTTCCTTTTCTGACACACAGATTGTTGGTTCTTTTAAGCAATGTCCAATGTCACTACCTATTTCTTGAACTTTTTCCACTGAAATCAGGTGATCTTTAGGCAATTTCTTCACCCTTTCCTGTAAGTAATCTCGTCCCCCCACAAGCTTTTGGGTATCTTGAGTTTGATCTCCCTTTTTACTTTTACCTTGGCTTACATTTTGATAACTTTCCACAAGATTACTACAGGCAATCTTAACTGCTTGGGTAATTCCTCTGACCAAAAGGTTTTGAAATTGTTCCCAAGTGAGGGTTTCAACGAATGTATCTGGATCCCATTCTTCCTCAGCCATTCCCAGTTCCATGGTGCCACCGATTCTTAAACAAAACTTCAATTTTCCAAAGTCACTTTATATAATCCTTTTAGCTTATTACTTTGTTGCTTTCCATCAAGTTCCATTCATACCAAACAATTGCAGTTCAGATAGGACAAAAAAAATAATTCTTACCCCCTCGACTTTACAACAAATTCCATTCCCAGTCATTCCGCAGCCACTTTCTCATGGTTGGGAACATCATCTGGGGGCATTTAAATCCAGAATGCTTCAACCTTCTCTTGTTTCTATGTGATTAAATCTCTTCATGTGATGTGTTGGTAATTTTCTTCGTATATAAGTTAAAAACAATGGCTGGTCGCCGCTAAGGAAAACATGGCAGCCATGTTTTCTCCGCTTCTCCGCTTCTCTGCTCCTGCTTCAGGGCAAGTCTGCAACACCCCCGCGATTCGCCATCTACGGGGGTGGCTGAAAAAGCCCCCTGCTGCTCTCCTCCCTCCAGGAGGCTGAACCGAGGGTCCCCGCTGTTGCGGGAAACCGGGGGGGGGGCATTTAAAGGGATTACGGTCCCTTTGAACGCCTCTTCCAAGCCATGAGTGAACTCCAAGTGGCCAGTTCACCTGGAAGGTGTTTAAAGGGACTGTGATCCCTTTAAACACTCTTTACCTTCAGCTGTCTGGTGAGAAATCCCGGAATGTTTTGGGGATTTTTGGGGGCATCCATTTTCGGATAGCTGAATAAATACTGGGCTCTGTATCTGGCTGGAAAAAATATCTGGAAAATATCAATAATGTATTTTTCTTATATTTTTTTCGGCTTGGTATAGGCCGAATGTGCACACACACGCCCCCCCCCTCACGTGTGGCTGTGCATCAGTTGCTGCTGTGGCACATTCTGTCTGAAGCCAGCAGCTGCTTCTCCCCCCCCCCCCCCCCCGCTAGCGAGCCCTTCAGCATTCTCTCCTCATGCTGAATGGGGGGGGGAGAGCGAGCTGTGGAAGCTCATCCGTCCACGGAGGGGGCATGGGTCAAACACTTTCTCAGGATTTTTTTTTTGGGGGGGGATCTGCATGTGCCCTGCGCACGGAGCGATGAGCAGACACGACCCACCTCGGGGAGCCTTCCAGCCCGCTGATGAGATGCTGCTCTCACGGTCAGCCCAGGGTTTGTTCCAGTCAGCCGCCCCTGTCCCAGCCTCCCCCTTTGTGATCCACAAAGACCAGGAGGGAGAAGAACAGGTTGCTTAGCTGTGAGGGGTGCTCTCTGAGGGGTCACTTGTGCAGTCACGTGACTTGCCCACCCTCCCCGCAGCACCCGCCGCGTATCCTTTTTCCTGCCGCATCTTGCGAGCAAGAGCAGGGTGGGAAGCATGGCTTTGCCTTCCTCCATCATGCCCCTGGCTTCTGCATGCTCCTAGAGGGTGTGGCAGATTCTAGAGGCTTCTCCCAATCAGTTCTGCACCCCCCAGCAGGGCAACTGCAGAGATTGGGGCCCCGTGGTCCTTGGTCCCTGCCCCCACCGTGCAGTTGACCCGGCAGGCTGCCTTGATCCCAGCCTCGGCACATGTTGCATTGGCACCAGTGACAGCTAAGGACTGAGCCCGAGGACTGTGGCAGAATGACAGCCCCCTAGAGTCACCAGTAAGCAGTCCATCCTTGGGTGTTTGGAGTTGGCAGTGGCCGCCGTGGCATGGTTTGCTGGGCACTGTTCAGTTGTCTTTGTGTTGGTTAGCCTTAGATTTTTTGTGTTGAAAGGCGTTCTAAGTACTTGAATAAACATAAGCACTGTACAAAACTGGAAAATGAGACAGGCCCTGCCTGCAGGGCTAAAATCTAAAGTTAGATGAGGACCAGGAAAGGACACCCCGGGGGGCCAGATATGTTGTATATTCTCCATACGTTGCCTCCCCTCTTGGAGAGACACTTGATCCCAGAGTTGTGGAGCAGCCGCACGGAAGGCTGCCGATCATGGCAAAGGCCTTCAGGCAAAATGTCTGTGTGTGTGTGTGTGTGTGTGTGTGTGTGTGTGTGTTGGTGCCTGTGGCCGTCCCTCCTCTGCTCTGCTCTGCTCTGCTCTGCAGTGGGGCGGAGAGAGGCTGATCCTTGCCCTGCACCTGCCGGTGTCGAGTGCTGATGTTGCCAGAGACTGCCGCCCTCCTTGGGCCTCTGCTCCAAAGTCTGTGTGTGTGATACCAGGTGCGGCTTTCTGTTGACCTGCCGTCCGCCTCCCCTAGGACAAAAGACTGAGTGCCACATCCAACCAGAGTGAGGAATCCCAGGTCTCCAGCAGCACGATCTCGGCTGGCTGCCAGGAGGAGCCAGGAAGGAACGTGCAGCAGGCAGCAGGGTCAGCAGAGGTGTTGAGTGCCGGGGCCGAGGAAGAGGCCGTTCAGCAGCAGGAAGAGACAAGCAGAGAAGAGGAGGAGGAGGAGGCAACGGGAGAGCGAGAGGAGGAGCACGAGGTGGAATACAATGAGGTAGGAGCCCTGGGAGTCTGCCTGCCTTTGTGCGTAGAAACCAGCCTACTGCTGGGAATGTCCCCTAGCAGCGGTGGGGGGGCCTGGGTTTCAGCCTGGTTCCTCACAGCACAAGGCAAGGCAGCAGTGGCTTCTCGTGGGCTGGATGCTGAGGGAAGCGTCAGAAGTGGGCTGGGCTGGAGAAGGACAGAGAGCCAGGGCATGAGGAGGATACGGAGCAGATGCTGCCCTGTTAGATCACAGGGACCCTTTCTGCTTAGCCCGGGGAGTGGGACGGAGTGAGTGGGTCCCCAGTCAGAGTCAGTGCAGAGCAGCTCAGAGCAGGTGACCCTTTTGGCTTGATGTGGGCACCTGGTTGACCCTGCAAGGGCTAAAGCCACATGGAATTCACAGCCACAGGAGGGGGTGGTGGCCACAAGCATGGACGGCTTCAAGAGGGGATTGGATTAGTATATGGTCCATCAGTGGCCCCTATTAGGCACAAGGGATAGATAGGAACTCTCGGTCTGGGGCAGGTGATGCACTGTATTCTCGGTGCTTGGGAGGGGGCAACAGCGGGAGGGCTTCTGGTGTCCTTCTGGCCCCACTGCTGGACCTCCTGGTGGCACCTGGTATTTCTGGCCACTGTGTGACACAGAGTGTTGGACTGGATGGGCCACTGGCCTGATCCAACATGGGCTTCTCTTATGTTCTTAGGTTGCTTAAATGTTATCAACCTGCCCCAAATACCTATTTATTCAAATATTTATATCCCACTTTTCCCTGTGACTCAAGGTAGCAGTGGGAGGGCTTCTAATGTCCTGGCCCCACTGGTGGACCTCCTGATGGCACTGGTATTTCTGGCCACTGTGTGATACAGAGTGTTGGACTGGATGGGCCTTTGGCCTGATCCACCACTATAGCCTATAGGGACCATTATAGTCAATTTGCCCCATAGGCTATAATGGAGAATTAATCCAGGGGTATCTGGTGCTCGGGGTGGGGGGGTTGAGGCAGAGGTACCAAATTGCAGCATAGCTGCTGGTACCTCTCCTCAACCCCCCACCCCCAAGTTTCAAAAAGATTGGACCAGGGGTTCCAAGTCTCTCGGCTCCATAAGGAGGCGCCTCCATCCTCCATTGTTTGTGAGCTGAAGCAGAAATCCTCTGAGCTGGCCTCTGAAAGGTTGTGTGCCGGCGCCCCCTAGCACAGCTTAGAGGGAACTGTGCTTCTGAGTCCAAAAGGCAGAGGTTGCTCAAAGTCGAGGGATGGGGAGTGGGCGGGGACAGGGGCTGGCAAGCAAGGGAGGCAGCCGTCCTGAGAATTCCCTTCCCACCCGGGACGTTTTCCTTGCAGCCCTCCGTGCATTTTGCCGAAGACACTCTTGTTCGCAGCGAAGATGATGAAGAAGAGGAGCGCCGGTTCCCAGCGGGGAAGCAGCGCTTGATCCGCAAGGATACCCCCCACTATAAGAAGCACTTCCGGATTGCTCAGCTGCCTCAGCCTGAAGCAGTGGTGGCCCTCTTGCAAGGGTTGAACCCTGACGGGGGGGCCCCACCGCCGGCAGCGGAGGAGGAGGAGGAGGAGGAGGAGGAAGAGGGGCTGCACAACAACGGGTGGGGTGAAGAGGAGCCCAAGGAGGAGGCCCCAGCTGCTCCGCCCTCCATCAAGGTAGGCCCCCCGGGCTCTCCGGAGGCGGGGCGGGGGAGTGAGGAACTTGGTGGGCAAAAGGAGACCCCCGGGCTGTGTGCCCCCTCTGCCAGTGGCTCCGCTCCCCCTTTCCTTCCACTCTTCTCTGCTCCCTCCGACCAGGCGAATGGGTATCTTCCTGGAGGCAGCTGGCCGGACGGACGGCTGGCCTGCCTGCCTGCCTACTTTCTGGGCTCAGCCATGCTGGTGTGAATAGGAGGCGGGTGGGACGTGGCGTGTCTGTGCCGGCTAGAAATGTGTCCCCTGTCCTGCCTTTCTTGCCAAGCAAGGGGCCTCTCCCTCCTCCTGGGGGCTTGGTGGGTGGGCCTGTCTCCTCCTCCTCCTCCTCCTCCGGACCATGCCCTGGTGGAGCTCTTGCAAGGGCCCAGAGTTTGCTTCTGGCACAGGAGGAGCCCAGAGGAGTTCCTCTGGCCCAGCAGCTCCTTCCTTCCCCCCAGCAGGGCCCTGGGGAATGGCACCCGGGGGTGGGCACTACCTGGGGGGGAAGGGGGAGGAAGGAGGAAGCTTTCTGCCTGCGGGTAGCATTTAATAATGATCCTGCGCGAGGAACACTTGATGCAGCCCATCAGCCGTGGGAATGGTGTGGCCGTCTGAATCCACCCCGTGCCACTCTGCGAGAAGCAGTGCTCATTTCAAGTGCAGCTGAGGAAGGAGGGGCTTGAGTTTGGCCACAGACCAACCGATTCTGGGACTGTCCGACCCTGGCTTGTGCGGCAAGGAGAGCCGTGGGGGGGGAGAGAGGGAAAGACAGCCCCTCCGGTGTCTGTTCCCCACCTCAGTGGCGAGCCCTCTGTCTCTCTGCTTGTCTCTCTCTCTGCCACTTTCCCTCCCTCCCTCCCTCTCTCTCTCTCTCTCTCTCTCTGATGTGGGGCACTCGCTGGTGTTGGGGGCAGGGCCTGTCTGTCCGTCTGTCCATCTGTCTCTGGTGGCAGTCTGGTCCTTCTCCACTAATCCGCATGCCTCTCTCTGCTGGTTCCTGTCCTAACAGGGGGTGTCGTTTGATCAAGCCAATAATCTGCTGATTGAACCTGCTCGCATTGAGGAGGAAGAGGTCTGTACGACTCCCGGCAACATCCCCCGCCCCCGCTTATTCTCTCTCGCCCCGCCCCGCCCCGCCCCCCCTTTTTCTCTGGGTCTTCTGGGACCCCACTGGCAGGGGCTGCTGGCTCTCCGCTGTTGCCCTCCTGTGCCTGAGCCAGGCGGCTGGTCTGCTTGGGCCTGCGTGGCGGGGGTGGGTGGTGGGGGCGGTCAGCGAGTCAGGCCAGAGTTTTGCAATGAAAAACAAGAGACTTAATTTAGTACAGTGGGAGTTGAAACCAATTGGAATTCGTTTCAAAGCATACATGTTTTGCATATGCTTCATTGGGGCATCTAAAATAAACACAAGAATAAATAACTTTCAAAACATACTTGTAAAAGACAGAAAGAACTGAGCAGATGAAGAAATCAGAATTTCAGAAATCAGACATCAAAGCAAGTAACACTGGGCTCAGAAAATTCCTTCACAAGTACAGTACAGAGGCAGTTTGTACACTGAGATGTAATTAAGAACCACAATGTTTTATAAAACTTGGAAGTACATCGATGTATTACGATTGACCTGTAAAATAGGTCACTTCCCACAGCAACAGGGCTTTACCAAAAAGAGGGGGAGGGGCTTTGCAGGTTTAATGACTCCAGAAGGCAGGACTGCGTGATCTCTTGCTGCCGCACAGGGTGGGATTGCAAAAACAACAAAGGACAACGGAGTAAGAGAGCTGCTGTAACCAAATATGTTAAAGTCCGAAATTGGGCTGCATTTCAGAGACCCCCAAATCATATAAACAGTTCCACCAGTAAGAATTAACAACTGAAACTCTATTGAAAACAATACAACACTGTGGTCAAATACAACACCAGTATCAATGAACTCACAAAAATTGCAAGATTCCAGTTGCCAGCTGACCAAATAGGATGTAGTTAAACAATCAAACTAATCAATGGCTGAGACATCCTATACACTTGGGAACAATAACATTCAAAATTACAATTACAATGCAGAGTAATTGCATTCAGAAATAACAGTAACAGTGAGGAGTAATACATTCAGCAATACAAGGTCCCAGTATAGTTCCCTTGTTTCCATAAGAGTTCTTTTTCGGTCACTATTACAGTGGAAATCTCTCCTCCTATATAATTCTGTTTTGGGATGACTCTTTCCTGAACGTTCCACACTCTTCCAAATCAATTGGGTCCCTGATCTGTCATTCAGGAAGTGTGCCAATCCCCTGGCTGCGTTGCCTTGCTGCGTTGCCTCAGTCCCGCCCACAGAGCTGGCGGCCAGCGTCTTGGGCTCAGTCTGGAGGGAGCCGGCGAATGGAATGGGTCCTCTCAGTTCCTGGCCACAAACCGTTCCCATAGCAATGGATACATTAATGATCCATTACCACCAATTCTCGCTTCTAGCTGTAAAATGTGACCCATTTAATGTCATCTCACCCGTTCAGTCCTCCCTTTCCCTCTCCTCTTAGGAGGCTTTTGTGATACCAAAGGACGGGGAGCGTGTGACGGAGGGTGGGGGCAAGCCTCCAGTGGACTTAGAGGTGCCTCTCTCTGCATCAAACGGCTGTTCCTCCGAAAAGGCCCCCCCCCCCCCCCCCCCGTGGATTTTAGGCTGAGTGCTCTGACCCCGAGGCCCAGCTGTTCTCCCCCTCCCCTGTGGGGCTGCTGTGGTCCTGTTGTGGGGAAGCAGGGGGGTGGGGCCTTTGGGTGTTCCCTGTGTGAGGCAGAGAGCTGTGGGGGACCAGGTGGCCCTTGGGCCCGATCCGTGTCGTTAGTGGGGAGCTGCTTGGGCAGGAGAGCCAGGGGGTTGCTGCAGCGGTGTCCTTGACCGTCCCAGGCAATCTTTGGCCTGGGAGTCCAGCTCAGAATAGGTGGTCGCACCAGCCTGAATGTTCCTGCTTCTCTAGCTGGGGGGAGCATGTGGCAAGAGCCCCCTGGGGGAGAGGGGTGTGTGTGCGTGTGTTTCCCCCCGCTCCCCCCCCCCCCCCCCCCCGCTGTCGCACAGCACTGCTCATTGAGCCAGGTTGTCCTCGGCTTAAACTTGGTCTCCTCCCCCGGGAGCTGTTCTTCTCCAGCCACGGACGGACGGACCAATATAGCACACCAGGGATCCCTGCCAAGAGGCCTCTCTGAGCGACTTTGGCACGCGTTGCCTTGGGGGGGGGGTTTCAAGTGTGACGCCTGCCTGCCCTCGTGTGCCGGAGAGGAGGTGGCCCAGATGTCGCCTGGGTCCCAGAGGGAGTGGAGGGTGTATGTGTGCTGCGTTGCCCCAGTTGGAGGAACCCTCGGTGGTGGGCGTGTAGCGAAGGGCTCTTTTGCTGTGCTCGCTCCAGCACTGCTCTCTGCGCCCGGAGAGGCTGCGGCTTCCCTGGCCGGGCCGCCGGGAAGAAGGGAGTCTTTTCTCCCCTTGTGCCCCCCCCCCGCTTGTCTCTCCTCCTCTTGCTTCCTCGGGGTCTCGAGTGGTGTTCCCTCTGAGTGGAGTTAGTGTGAGCTAGGTCACAGTTTTTTAGCCTCTGGCTCACGCACATTTGTCTTAGCTCAGGAAGGAGGGGGCTCCAGATCCAACCAGTCAAGTGGCTCGCTCACAACTTTAATGCTCACAAGACTCCATAGCTTAGAAGGGAGCCTCGGTCTTGACATGTCCGCTTCCAAGGCTGTTGCCTCCTGGGTGAGCGGCCCCCTGTGCCGTGCTGGAGGGGGGCAGTGCTGACCACCTCACAAGGGGGTGAGGGGTGAGGGGGCCCTCGAGGGCCAGAAACGAGGAGGAGCCCTGGCCCCACAGCCATTCGAGGAGCCAGGCAGGGATTCCGGACCATCCAACGGGAAGGCCCCCTCTGCTCTAGCACAGGGATGCTCGGGAGACAGTCGCTTGCGGTGGTGGGTCGTGCTGTGCGGTGGCCCCTCCGCTAGGAGCGCGGGGTCCTCCTGGGCCAGGTGTGCCTGCGGTTCAGAGTCCGTCCCAGCCCGTCAGTGGTCGGACGTGCCTGCCGGAGGAGCCCCACTTCCTGGGCGTGTCCCGAGGGCGGGGTGGGGGTGGAGGGTGACACGTGGGTGATATTCCTCCTGTTCGGGGAGGGGGGGTGAGGGGGAGGTCCCTTCCAGCTCTATGATTCGGTGAAGGAACTGGGGCCGTACTCAGTGGGTCGCAGGTCTGGTGGGAGCCTTGGTGCCCGGGGCTCGTTCAGTGCTCATGCGCCGGGCTGCAGGTCACTGTGCGCGTGTGTGTGTGTGTGTGACCCCCTTGCTCATGCTCCCAAGCAGTCGTCCCCCCCCCTGTTTTGTGTACCT